GAAAAAAGTCGGAGGCTAGTGCCTTCTGTGAAACCACAAGTAATGATGAAACAGAAGTAAATTTAAAAAAATAAGCTTTTGTGAGGACTTTGTGCTGGCTGAGCCTTTTAATAACGCTTCTTAGAATAATTTCAACCATTCTGAATGAATGTAAACTAAAATAACTGAAGGTCTTTCAGGCTTGACTACAAGAAGGCATAAAAATGGATCTGTGCTCTCCAAGTATCCAGCACCTACAAGTCTTTATTCTGATACATTGCTCCACTCAGTTGTTCCAGTCAAGGCTTACCTCACCCCATCTCCAGACCAGTCCAGTCCTGTACAATCCCTCTAAGCATTTTAACTCCCTCTCCTGTTTCTCGTGTGGACCCCTCCTCGCCCACAGTTCTGCCCCTTCAGTTTCTGGAACGGCCCCAGGATTTTGGTTTTGGGTTTGTTTTAAATAGAAAGAGCATTGCAAAAAATCTTTTGATCAGAATCATGACATTTGAAGATCTGCTGATGCCCCTGTGGAAAACTTTGTGTCATTATCTTTTCGCCAATTCTGCTGACGGATCATTTACTATTTGTGTTCCTCCTCCCTTGTTGTGTGCTACTGAAAAAAGTATAGCGGACTTTTTTCCAAACTCATTCAGATTTTTGAGACAGGTTTCTGTGCTCCCGAAGCCTGAATCTGTTGCCCTTCTGTGCACTGCTGCAAGTACAGATCTCCAAAGTGTGACTGGAGAGAGAAGGCTGCCAGCTGGGAGTGCCAGCCTTGTCCTGTGCCTCGTTTCTCATTTCAGACGAGCATTGCTTTCCAAGCCAATAACAGTCAAGTGCCCAAGATTTCAGAAATGTCCCCTTCATTGAGTTTTATTTTCCTCCTCTTGAACTCTAGCTGCTGCAGTTTACATTCAAAGCCCTACAAATGCAAACAAATAGGATTTTGCAATGTCACATTTCATTCTGAGAAGGCACACAAGACCTCTGTCAGCAGTGTTTCCTGTCCTGACTCAAAAGGATCCCTGTGAGAAAAGCTGAGCACTTGGATCACCACTGGCCCTTCGTTAAATTAAGGGAAAAGAACAGACTCCAAGGAAGAAGTCTGACATCCGTGCAATATAACTGGGGAGGAAGAGTAGAGTGCAGAACACACTGCAGTGCTCCAGGTTCCCTCTGCTTGCATTGCATTGAACCTTGCCATGTACAGACAGGCAGTGAGACTCTTTATCCATAAGAACTGTTTGTACTGGTCTTCCGAAGAACCGCATGCTGCCATGAAGATGCCTTTGCATCCAGAAAAAGCTACTGTGTTTCAAGACCTGCACAGTCTTTTCCCGTAGCATTGTCAGTAATCCCATACGAGGTGCAGGTAAAGACTAAGTTTTGCACCAATCCTTTAACCTGTCTGTTAACTGAAACCCAAGGCCGTGTACGCTTTCTTACCTGACAAGAAGACCAAGAAGATAAGGTGCATGAGGTTGTCCATGTCAGTTGAGCAGAGAAGGGGACAAGAGAGGAGTCTGGAGACAAGTGAAAAGGGCTCTTGCCCAAGAGTAGCTTGCTTTTCCCCCCTCCTTGCTCTGCCGGAAGGAATGAGCACAGGAACTTGGCATCTTTTTCGTCCTGCATATTGAGCAATTCACCAGGGACGGGCATTTCTCTCGTGGGCTGAAAATTCAGGCATCAGCATTGCCCACTCACAGCCACAATTTAGTCTAGACAGCCTGAAAGAGAGCATCATGTGATGGCCTGAAACCATGGTACTGGCAGTCCCTCTCTGCTCAGCCATGGCGCCTGTCCACCACAGTAGGCTTTACATGCAAGCTTGGCACGGGGTGAATTTCTGGAAAGCCGAAACGGAAAGGGTGGCTCTCATCGAGACTCTGCAGGTAGCTCAGTCAGCATCGCGAGGGTGAAGGGAGGGCAAGGGCATAATCTTGGGGTTTATCTTCAGGGGAAAGGAGGTTTAGAAGAGCCTATGCATGAAGCATTCCTATTTAACATGCAACTGAGGACAGGAAGACAAGAACACTGTGCTGGGTGAAGCTGTGAGGTGCTTTAGATGAGCAAAACAGACATCTTCATTGTGCACCTAGCAGAAAGGATGTAAGGTGAAGCGAGGGGGGCATTGATTCAGAGCCAGTCAGCGCCATACTGATGCAGTAGTTCAGGACTGCAGTTAGGAAGCCTCCTATAGCGTTACCAAACTGGTAGGCTGTGGATGGGTTGCTGGTTTTTCTTTTTTGAATTTATTTACTTGGAGATCTTCCATGCAAGTACGAATAGACCCTGGCTTCTTAACTTGCGTGCTTATCTGCTTCTTAACAGGCAGATAAACCTGCAGGTCTATCTATTCATAAATGTGCCTTCTTTTTCTTTCCTCTAATTAGTGTTTAAGAAAATGGTACCTTACTGTATCCAAAAATTCTCTGTGAGGCTTACTGATTGCAGTTTTTGTTCATTCTCACTCCAGTGAGCACAAATCTGGATTCTCTTTGATCAGCAGCTGTCTCCCTGAAAATGTCTCTCTTGAGCTCAATTGTTTTCTACTATTACTCTTCCACTGTTTGACCCAGCGTAACTGACTGCACGCATAGCAAATATTTAGGGGAATCTTGGGCTGAATGAACCATTTCCAGAACCATTTTCCTTTTCTTTCTGTCATTTCAAGTTAAACACGTCAACTCTGAAAATCTAAAAAAATAGATCAGCTTCCCTGCTGCAGCCGTAGCAAGAGATGGATGTGACTGGCTTGTGAATAGGGAGTGGTTCAGGCCCCTTTAATTTGCCACCTGTCTGCAGAGCTTGGTGCAGCCAAATAAAGCGCCAGGGTTTTTGGTCTTTCGGAGAAACTGAGCTGAGCCCCAGCAAACTCGTTTCATATTGCTCACCACATGACTGCTATAAAAGCAGCAATGTGTCATACGGAGTATCGCTTTCCAAGGCCCTGGTGAGCTTTCCCATGAAACTGCACATGCATTTCTGCTCTCCTGTGACTTTAGAAGAAGCCACAAAAGCTTGCTTTCTATGGTGTAGCCAAAAAAATAAAAGGTGCTGGAAGTAGGCGTGCTGGTTTGTATTGGTCTTCCAAAGAACTTCGAAAGAACCTGCTGCACTGGTGAATAGGCTGGGACGAGCTGTTTAAAGTACAGCACAGTGCTGCAAAAGAACAGAGCTACGTCTGAGACTAGCTGGGTAGTGATTGCTGAAGAATGCAAAGATGCCTCATAACAATGAAGGCCAGAGACCAAGTGCATTGGAAAAACACGTTTGAGAGTTGACGGTGTGATTATCCAGGGTAGCAGGGTTTGATGAGGTCCCAGCCAGTCTAGTGTTCCTGTGGCAGCTCTTGGGAATTGCCAGCCTGCATCATAGCTGCACTAGAGATCCATAAATACATTGTGTGTCTGACTTACTTGGACATTTACATCTGTAAATAATCCACTCTTAATTACCATTGTGTCCCTTCTGTTATATCAGCTGATGTTGAGACCAGCCCTCTTACGCTCATACTTCTTCCTCTGTTCTCTGTGTCATACTTCCTGCAGCTTCTTCGCACAGCCTACCAGTTCCTTGCTCTGTGCTACAGACCTTCCTCACGCCTCTCTCTGGGCTCGTCCTTGCAGTTAGCACAGCAAGCAAAAAACATCCCAGTGCCCTGTCCACTCCTCTAATGCAATACCACGTGGGGTTCCCTTCTTTCCTTTCTCCAGAAATACTCAATTTTGGTTCTCCCTGCTTGTCTTGATTCCACACTGCCTTGGTTCAAGCAGCCAGTTTGTGTGTTCTTGGGGAACAGAGGGTGCAAGACAGCAGGCCAGCCAGAAGCTGTTGAACAAAGTAAGGGCCTTTGATTAGGAGGTGGTGAAAGGATGGGGCAGTCTGCACAAGCTACCCATGGGAAGCCATGCCTGTAACTTCAGATTTCAGCTGCTACTTCATTGTGTTTTCAGTGTACAGGCCTCAAAGACTGCATAAATATGCTGTGGCTGTGGATGGCCCTGAGAGCAAATTCAGCCCTCAAGCATGGAAATAATGGAGTTGTCCAGAGGGTACAGTGTTGGAGGCTCTTGCTAGTGCAAGCACAGCAGCCACACTGAATCCATCCCACAACCCTCCGCGCTCCGTAAAGGGACGCTTGTACATGCGCTCGAAGTGACATCACCTTCATTCCCTCCTACCCCCAAACTCCAGCGTGCACACTCTATTTCTTGATCTGAAGCTAAACATTTAGCTTCAGTTTGAAAGCCTCTTACCATCTTACTTCTTACCTAAGCAGACTGATAAATTTAGGTTACAGGGGAATTTGCACTAAGTCTCAAAAGGTGTACGTAGTACTTAGATGCACCGTTGTTTTGTAGCTACAAGACCTTCTGGTGCTCAGATTCCTACAGCACAATCCTCAGTTTGCACAGTTTGCAATACAGCATATCATCGTGTTGCAATACACCCTCAAGCTATTTGCCTTCAGGTCGGTGCTGGTTCTGCTCATTCCTATAATCCAGTGCTCATGTCCCCCACCCATTACGTGGCAAATGAACCCGGTCACAGCAAGGTTAGAGTTTTATCCCTACAGCACTGGAATGAGTTTGCTTGGCCATAGTAGCTGAACCCTTAGGAGTGGGATAGAGTTTCTACCAGTGAACATATAGTTGAAATACCAAACCCATCCACGTCCAGATGAATACTGCTCTTTTTCAAAAGGTCAGTCCTCAACACCTGCCTTGCCAAAAGAATCTGTGTTTTAATGGAATTGAAGAAGGCAGATGTGCAAGGGATCCTGAGAATTACCCAGCACCTCTGTCTGACCTGAGAGAATCTGTGCACTTGTGGCAAGATTTTCTACTGGCCTCTAATAGGAGGAAGGTCTTAAAATGCATAGGCAACATACACATGGCAGCAAAACCTTAGATCTTTTCCCCGTGTCCATCCACACACCTTCTACTCCCCATTCCCACTTTGTATTACAGTTCTTTTCTCCTATTCTTTTCTGGATTGTTTTGGGATTCTGTGCTTCATCCTTTGTCATTCGTCGGTAACTGCTTGAGTTCAATGATAGCATATTCCACATTTTCATCTTCGGGTTTCCTGTGAGTCTGAATTGGTTCAACATTGCAGTAGAGAGGATCCTCAGGGCTGAGTCGAGATTTAAAGTTCAGGGTAACATATTTTAGGTCTTTGCTGTCATCCTTGGGACTTTCCATTCTTTCAGTGCTGTCAAGCTAGGAAAAGAAAGGGAAAATGCTTATTAACATGATTCAGTGCCAGGCCACAGCTGTTACCAAAAGAACAAGATTTTCCCAGGAGGAAAGGAGAAGCCATGTAAAAACTTACCTTTGGTCACAACAGAGGTGGAAGAACAGAAAGCTCTTTCCTTCATCCCCCTCCTTGATACAGGTTACAACCTCATCGTCTAACCTTGGTTTCTAGTCTCTGAGTAATTTTGCAGAGATTACTAGAATTTCCTCCACTGTGTTTTTTTCCTACTGGACTTTCCTTACATTAATTACCCCCTCTCTCTCCACCTGGGAACATTCCTCTCTCTGGTGACATTAAATACCATTTCCCCTCCTGCTCACAACCACAAATGGGCACCAAGGCCCTCATCAGATGGGTCAGCCAGCTCCTCACAGACTGTTGGTAAGGGATTCAGGTACCGTATGGGAAATCTGTCGTTTTCCTTACCTGTGGTATGTCCTCTGGTTTGTCATAGGTGTCCTCTGCTTGGCTGGTACCTTTGGAAACAGCCAAAATCAGACGTTTTAGAAGTAGAGAAGTCCATGAAATGCCTGGGCATTGCCTGTGCTTCAGGAGTTTTGGGGAAGGCTGTGGGATTGCCCAGTGATAGAAGCAATGGGTGTGCCAGTGGGCCCCATCTACCCTGAATCTGATGAACACATTGCTCTCACTTTAATTCTCCTCTAACATGTTAGGAGGTGTCCTGTGCAGAGTCTGGAGGAACACGCGTTTGACTTACTGGGAGAGGAGATCACGGCAAGGAGCCTGCCTTGAGGCTTCCCAGGCTGCACCTGCCTTATCTCCTCCAGGGCACTGAGTTGGGAATAAGCTCGCCTGGAGTGGCAAAGTGATGGCCAGAGACGGACCTGTTTAGTACAGACTAGAATACAAGGCATCACCAGCCTCCACATACCTCTTCTCTTCTGCTGCTTGCGCCGCCTGATGCACAGTGTTACCGAGCTGATAAGTGCCAGGACGAACATGATGCTCAGGATCACAGAGAGTAGGACAGAGGTGTTTACTTTTGAGCTGAAGCCGGGAGAGCAAAGGAGTTACCAGTGTTAGATGGTAGCACAGCATGATGCTGGCACAGCCCGTTACCAAACAGTGACCAAAAAAAGGGACAGGAATAACTTTTATGCACTAGCTTTTACGCATTTGGAAGGAGGGTCTGGTTCTCCTGCAGCAGTGCTATCTTGATTTTTCTACCTGGGTGTGCCTTCTGAGCTTTTCCTAAACTACTCTCTGGGCTTTAAAAACAAGCCACTGTTCAAAGTTCAGAGCACAATTCCATGATCTCTGGAGTAGGAACTGCCTTTTCCTCCTGTGTTTTGCTGCACCTGCTGCGCTGAAGCTGATGTATGATTGTACTCTTAGGTGCTGCTGTAGTGTTGATGACAGCAGATGTCCAAAGGGGAAAAAAATCCCTTACATTTAACAGCCTGGTAAATGGAAGGATAAAATAGCAGCCAAGGACTGTTTCATTGTTAAATATTCATGGACAGGAGTGAGACAGAAAGGCTTAGGGGCAGAATCTGGGAGCTTCTATTGGTGCAAAGAGCACAGCCCAAAGAGATAAGGATAAAAAAGTAGATAAGCATGTGCATTCCAGAAAGCTGTGACTTGATTTATCAGTTTGCTTCTTTGTAATTACACTCTGGGCAGGAGCTGGAAGAGGAGGGGCCATCTTTGGTAAGGACTCCTGTCCTATCTAATTCCTCTGTAAGCAGGAGTCTCCAGAACGCCCAGAGACTGCCTGCCCCAGGAAGACAGGCGTACTGCGGATGAGACATTGAGAACTCCTGTCTGTGTTCAAGCTCAGAGACTTTCTCGAGGCCTTACCTCAGTGCTGGGGTGTTGCCAAAAGGGGTTGATTGACTTGTGCCTGCAGTACCTGGCAAAGTTGTTCCACCCGATACTGCAATCCCAAACACGAAGAGAAGAATGATCACAACTGGGATGCTTTGCATTTACCACCTAGATTTCCCTGCCGTTGCTACATGGCCGTAAACCCACTCCCGCTGTGACACGCAGCACAGACAAGCGCCCGGGCTGTAAGCTGTGTCATCAAGAGTTGCTGGCAGCAGGCGAAGCAACGTAAGGGTCAGAACGTGGGAGGCAGGCGCCAGGAGCTCAGCTCAGCCCCGCTCTGCTCTGCTCTGCGTGTACCCCCCCCAAGGCACGGCAGAAGGAAGTGCTATAGGTGCGAGCAGACGTGCTCTATGGCAAAGGTCTTCAGGTAGCAATGAAGTACTTAACCGCTCTGTGCTGAAGCAGGCAGAGGCTTGTGAAAACTAAGCAGAGAGCATGGTCTGCGAAGGACTCGGCTGTAACAATTGCTTCCAGGACTGTTTCTGTGCCCAGGGGAGGTTGTGTGTGCAGGAACCCGCTTGCTTAGAGACTGCATTCGGTCCCCCGTGTTAGCAGTTTCGCCTGGAGAATTATGCCGTCCCCTCTTGTCGTCTGCATTGCCGTATCCCTTCAGAGCTGCTCTGCCAAATTCCAGACAGACGGCAGCGCGCTGCCGGTCTGCCACAATCCGGTGCCTAAGCGTTAGCACTTAGGGTTAAAACATCATGCTGGAGGAAAGCCTACAAGTCACAGATCTTTAAAATCCGGGTCTAAAGGTTGTCCTCTCAGCAACCAAGTGGGAAGGTCTTAACAGTCTTTGAAAGCCAAGGGATGAGTTGCTATAAAGGGGCAGAACTGCTACCATGAGAACGACTGACAGAAGCACCTCTGTGAAAACCACTGAGGCTGCTCTCAGGTGAAGGAGAAGCGATACAGCCCATGCGTGTGGTTCGGTTCTGATCCCTGTTGCCATTCCATAGCATGGGTGGTGTGAGAAGGTACAATGCTGTAGGGTTTGGGCCGGCAAACGCATGCGGATGTGACGTGGGAGGTGGTGTAAGCTGGGCAGTGCAGAGACTAGGGGGAGGGAGTAGGAAAGAGAGTCTGGAATCTACAACCAACCATGTTTCCCT